GACACATAATACTNCATATATATATATATATATATATATATATATATATATTGAACGGATCATCGGTTTATTGTAGCAATATATCTAGGTTTTAGTAGTAATTATTAGAAGATAATAGTAGGGAAAAATGATATTAATAGGCAACGCTACAAATTTACAAGTTACAAAAAAATATACATAAAAATGACTTCACCCAACCAGGATCTTCAAAATGAGAAGAATACGATCTTTCCAAAAACGTGAAAATATGCGCAATCGCAGAACTACCACAAGGTCTGATGCGGTTTGATGCGGTGACTTACTGTACCTCTAGGGCTGTTTGGATGATAGTTAGTCTTACCAGGCACATGATTTTATATGAAATTAATATATACTGTATAGTAATACTTTTTTAATTTTTTGGTACATGTCTTGTATTATATGTAATATTACTTGAGTATTATATTTTTCTATAATTGTCAAATATGATTTGTTATTTCTTGCATAAACATGTGATTTTCAGCAAATTATTTTTGAATAAAGTCAAACAAAGTTATAAAAATTACTTATATCTAAAATAAATAGAAAATAAGATTTACTTTTTTTTTTTGGGGATGACAAACCCCTACCCATTTCTTGAAATTATTAGTAGTTTTTAAATGCGGTAAGTGAGAATGGAAGTTTAGACCTTAATTGGGATACAAGTAGTGCTACCACCACGATCCTAGCCCCATTATCAAAGTGGTAAGTCAGTGGGGATTTGGGCCCTATCTTTTGATAAAAATGGAATCAAAGACCTCCTTTTGGTGAGAATGAAATCAAAGACCTCACCATGGGCTCGGCAATACTACCGCCCAAGCCCCAAGCCATTCCCAAAAACAAAAAAGATGGTTTACTTTTAGAACAAGGACATCACAATCACTATTGATCATTATGTATGAAATTAGATGGCTACGGGTATGTGATTGATTGGGTACAAAACTCAAAATGAAATTTCTCAAACAGTGCGACACAACCAAGCTATCAGGTTTCACATGCGATGGCTAAAAGTGATTATGACCTCCTTACACTAAGTGGTTTTATAATATAAAAGTATCTAAAACAACAAAGTTTATCTCAGTGTTTGCAAAATTGGACAAGAACGGTTAACTGGATATGGGCCCTTTATCTCAATGTTCACAAAATCGAACCAAAACAGTTAATTTGACGTGGGCCCGAAAGCAGTTTAACCAGCCTAATTGGTAAACTGGCCAAGCCTAATTGGTAAACTGGCCAATTCAATCGACTGATTAAAACAAAACACATTCAAATAAAATTGAAAATTATTGAAAAAAATGGATTTTAACAAATGGATTTTTAAATTAAAATGAGTATTAATTACCTAGATAATTTTTAATATTTTCTTTTAAATACCGAAAGATCACCAAAACTAGCTGGTACCGATCTAACTGAGCAGTTAGCGATTAGATCGCCCGATTTTCCCACAGATAAACTTTATCTCAAATAATTTTATGGGGACACCTGCAAATAACGTACTAGATTTAAGTTTATTAAAGTGGTGATGTACTAGTGATAATGAATACATTCAAACATACCCTCAATCTGTCCATTTATCTCCCCTACACACATGTAAATTTTACAATTCCAAATTTTTTAAATGCCTAAAATACCATTTGTCCAAAATGCCTTTATTCATGGCCCTATGTTGCATGGTCCTTGCAGGTGGGGCTATTGCCATGTTGTTAACAATTACTACAAGAATTGGGGATTTTATGCCTTGGGCGGGAGGGTGAATGCTCAAATTTATTGTGAGAGCAACGTCTTCGAACCCCAGACACCCAAGGAGGTGACCCCATGGTTCAGAGGTTTCAATGGTGATAGAACAGCAACTATCGAATCCCACGGTGATCTGTTGCTCAATGGAGCTAAGTTCACATGGTTCAACCACACGCCTCTCCACCATCCTGACTATGTGAAGGACCTCTACTATCCTCCATCGTACCCCACTAACCATCTTGCAACCATGCTTCAAAATTGTGCAGGGGTTCTTGGATTCAAGCTTAACACTTGCTTTCGTATGGCAAGAAAATGGGAATAATCTCATTCTTATCATTTTTCTTATCAGTGTCACAAAATAAGAATAGAATGGTCATTTGTTCTCGATGATACAACGGGTAAATTGGAAGTTGTAAGCATTTTTAAATTTTGGAACTTACGAGAATTTTTGGAAGCAGCATGACTGCATAGTTTTAACAATCGGTGAGGTTTGTATAAAGAGTCAACCTTAAACAATCAAAGTAAGATGCATCTCCCAATATTGTCGAAAGATGTAATTTTAGTGCTGGAAACGATAGTTTGAAAATATCTTTTTACCCCTAATTGTGAAATTCAAAGTGCAAAAACTGATGGGGATCAAGCGGATGTTAAAGCACTTGAAAATTTTGAAAATAGACGGTCCAAATAATGCATTACAAAGATGCACCATTTTTATGATTTGAAATCTTTTTCTTTATTATATCCTAACTCTCGAGGTTGTGATGATTAGTTTGAGAGCTTTTCAGCTTCTAAACAACCTTTTAAGGTGCACCTTACTTTAATCGTATAAAATACACCTCTTACATTAACTTTTTCCTTCAATAATAATGTTTTTGGATTGTGGAGATTGACAACGGCATAATTAATGCTAATTTCCGTAAACTAAATTGAAAGTAAAATCAAACTCCGACACCAACGATGGCTACCAAAGCCAAACTCGGGCATGTAGGTCTCATTCAGAAGTTACTTCTCTCTAAAACATTTTAAAACTCTAAATTTTCTAAACAACCTTCACATATATCTCTGCATGTATGATAAAATAATTTGGGAGTAACTTTTAAATTTATCACTATTCTTTTCTCTTCAGACTTACAAAAGAAAAAATAAAAAACAAAGTGGTTAAAAGAGAGAGATCCGAATATCAAATTCTTTCACTCCATTGTGAGTGCAAGAAGAAGGCAAAATGACATTTTGGGCTTGTCTATACTTGGTATTGAAGTAGAAGATAGTAATGCTATGGAAGGGGCAATTATTGATTACTTCAAGAAGGCCTTTTCCTCGGAGGTGAAATTCACACCAAAGTTGGAAAGGGTACCTTTTAAAGTTTTGTCAACAGAGATGAGTTCAAACTTGGAGTGCGATATTTCGATAGAAGAGCTAAAGGGGGCTATTTTTGTATTACCTCGTGATAAAGCTCCAAGCCCATATGGTTTTTTTTCATTAAATCAGAATTATTAGAGATAGTTAGAGGCTTTATGACTAGGGATGAAATTTTCAAAGGGGTTAACGTCACTTATATAGCTCTTATTCCTAAAAAATCAATGATTTCAGAGTTCAGATATTAGACCCATCAGTCTTCTAACCAGCCTTTATAAGATTATTGTAAAAGTTTCGGATGAAAGATTGACGTTTGTTTTACCATTTCTTATCTCAAATACTCAATCATCTTTTATTCAGAATCGTCAAATCATAACATCTGGTTGTGAAATCCTTCAACCTTCTTTAGTGACCGTAAACTAAAACCAAGTAGTCAATTTGATTTTAATAAGCAATCTATCAAAAGGTAAACTGTCCCCTTCAAAATGTCCTTCTATTTCTTTCCTTCAAAAGTTCCCAAATAGAAGCCCCTCTTTCTATTTGCCACACCAAAATACCCACGGAAGGTAAATGTTGAAAGGCTAACTAGGACAATAAACCCATCACAGATTGGGGAAGGTAATGTTGAAAGGCTAACTGGGACACTAAACCCATCACAGATTGGGGCGAAGAAGCATGAACCCGAAGTAGCCCAAACATCAAATACTAAATTCTAGAAGCAAAGGAGCAGTGGATGAGAAGGCGCTCGCCAGATTCCTCATCTGCTTTACACATCAAACATATATTAGGTAAAATTTTACCCCTCTTAATCAAGTTATCCACAATCAAAATCTTGTTTTGGATAGCTAACCATAAAAACACCTACACTTTATGAGGAACATATCATTTCCATACTTTGGCAGCAGCAGGTAAAGACCATCTCCACCTATCATGAAAGGATAGCCTAGAACAAGACTTGACCGAGAATATACCATCACTTTCAACTTCCCACATAAATTCATCCATTGTCCTCTGAGAAATATAAATCCTATCCAAGATTCCCAACAATTCACTCCATTGAAGATAATTTTCTTCACTCAGCCTATTGTACGAGAAATTAATATTCCAAGCAACACAATTACCTCTCACTTCAACCATATCAGAAACCTTAGCATTCGGTTGTGAAACCTTAGCAAAAAGTTCCGGAAAAGTAAGTTTAAGAGGGGCATCACCTATCCACCTATGATACCAGAAAGATATATTATCACCACACCTAACATTCCATTGGAAATATTCAGCAATCATCGGCCTGCACTTGTAAATGGACTTCCACGTAGAAGAAAAATCTCTATTTCTACCCCCTCTTATCCACATCCCCTGCCTATCAAGGCCATAATTTGACGGCAAGACTTGATACCGAAGCTGATCTGTATACTGAAAACTCCTCTACCACTATTTGCATAGAAATTTCTCATTCATATGTTTGATCTTCCTATTGCCAAGATCTCCTTCACTCTTAGGGTTACAAACATGATACCATCTACGTAAGTGAAGTTTTCTTTCTTCTCCAAAATACCCCCACATAAAATTATGCATCATCCTTTCCATTTTTTTCTTTATTGAATCAGTTATTTGAATAAAAGACATCAAATAAATTGGTAGATTAGCTAAGCAGGACCTAAGCAATGTAACCGTACCACACTTGGACAAGTATTTGGCTTCCAAAGATCCAGTTTCATTTGGACTCTTTCTAACACCTTATACCAAACAACTATAGAATACCTTGTATCTAAAAGTGGCATCCCCAGGTAAGTAAAAAAGAAGGAGCCAACCAAGCAACCTAACAGATTTGCCAAAGTTTGACTCAAAGCAGGAGGGAAATTAATACCTATCATTGAAGTCTTATGGAAATTGACCCTCAATCCCAAAGCCACCTAGCAGCAATCTAAAAATCTTGCAATATTTCTCACTTGCACCTCATCTGCTTCACAGAAGATAGGCATATCATCCGCATATTGCAGATAAGAGAATCTTGGAGACATCTCAGCCACCTTAAAACCAGAGAAATTCTCACTCCCTTCCACCTTATGAATCATTAGATTAAAACATTCTGCATAGATAGAAAAGAGATAAGAGATCTCTTTGGCAAAGATCCCTAGAAGCCTTAAAGAAACCAATAGGGCTTCCCTTAAAAAAACACTAAGAAATGAGTAGAGGATAAATATCTATAGAACCAACTCCTCCATTTATCTCCAAAACTCATATTCCAAAGAATTTCCAGAACATTCAACTCTATCATATGCATTTTCCATATCTAGCTTAATACTGATTTCAGGAACTTGACTTCTTACTCTAGAATGAATACATTATGCAAAATCTGTTTTTGATTGGAAGAGTAAAGATGAGACCGAGAAGTATTTGGGTGGCACTAGAGAGCGGTGGGCTTAAGTTAGCTTTGATAGGAGCTCTCTGGGGAATCTTGGGGATGTGGTGCGTGATTGTTATGGTGATGTCATCTTTTCATATGCTGACCCAGTTTGAGTAGCCACGGAAAACCATTCTGCATTAATGGCACTATTGTAAGGGTTGAAAATTTTGTCCTTTAGAAACCTTGGTAGCTACTGCATAAGTGAAGGAGATTCATTGAACGCCATTAAATGGTACAAGAAGGAGCAATGAATTCCATGGGAACTGAGGTCATATTGGAAGCAGATTAGGGATCTGGTGGCTCTGATGTCAGTCTCGTTCTACCATGTTTATCGTGAAGCAAATTCTTTGGCAGACTATCTTGCTAAAGGACGGGCTTATTTGCCCGCTCTGGCTATTTCCTCGGATGTAATTTGTTTTGAGTAAGTTTTATAAATAAAGTAAGGAATATATGTCAAAAAAAAAAAATTCTCCCTTTTTTTATTTATCTATAAACTCTCATCCCTAATCTCTTAAATGGCTTTTTTTTAAGATATCACAAAAACCGTATCCGTCGCTCCACATAAATTTCCCTTGTGTTTTATCCAAAAATAGCGCAAAAAAAAATCAATTCTAGAGAAGAAACAAGGGCAAACAAAAAATTAGACTTAAATGAAAACAAAAATCTAGAAAGGGAATTTATATGCATGTTGTCTTCCAAAAATATAGAAATCTATGTAGTATTGTCAAGTTCATCTAAAAAATTGAATAAAAATTTACTAAGGTTTAAAAAGAATATGAAATTCAGGCAGAAATATGGAAATTTTAGTTCTTAATTCAAATAAAACTTTTTGAAACGTATTGTTCATCTAATCTTTTTAATGGGCCATTGTATAATGTACGTGCCACTAGCTACTCGTACAAGTCCTACTTAATTGGTTAGCACTTGAAATTTGCAACGCTACATTCTTGACGTAATTCCTATCAAGGGTAGGGCCTCTCCTCATTGGCTCACCAAAAAACAAAAAAAACTTTAACCCTAATTTCACAAAAATACACCAAAGCAAGCTAAATTTTAAATCTATCCTAATGAAAGATTATAAATTCCCCTATGATATCCATCACTTAAGTATGAATTATGATCTAGGGTCTAAAACATCAACTAGATTAGAAGATATAGTTTCCAATTGATGTCTTCAAAACTTAATGTGCGTAATGAACTATATTGCTTAGAAATTATGCTTGTTAGAAGGTTACTACATAAAAAATAACTTTATTAAGTTGGACGGTATTGGAGGGAGATTGTCCTATTGTACGTTTCACACAACCATACCAATTGATTTGATGGTGATAAAGCCATAGGTAATTGTTAATTGGACGAGATGGATGATATTTATATTTTTCCCTTCCTTTATTCTTTTGGATAAATCGAAATCAATGTATGACATGATCTGCATGATCATGATAATGTAAAGACCATAAAAATCATCATCATGCATTTAGTGGGTTGGAGTTTGACCGTGATGCAGAGATATATCTCCAAATCAAGTGTTAAACCCCAACCTTCATTCGTCATCGTCAAGTGGCTCATTCCCTATCGATTATGGAAATCGCAGGATTTTAAAACCTTGAGCCAACCCAAATAGTATCATCCTAATTTCTTATGACCCGTATAACCCTATTGTAACATGATGTCCTTTATC